ATGAAAATAAAAATGAACACCAGCAAAGGGAGGAACTACACTAGAGAGAATAGTCAATCAAAGGAGAAACTAAGTCAAATTAAAAGTCAGAAACAAATCAAAATAAAACATCATTTCTCAATAATAATTTTGAATATGAATGGCCTAAACTTATTAGTCAAAAGATATAAACTGGCAGATTGGATTAAAAAAGAGACCCAACAATATGCTGTGTTCAAGAGACTCATCTCATAGGCAAAGACATCCACAGACTGAAGGTAAAAGGATGGGAAAAAAAACATATCATTTACATGGATCCCATGAACAAGCAGAGGTTTCTATCTTCATATCAGATGAAGTGGACTTCAAGCCAAAGTTAATCAGAAGGGACAAAGAAGGTCATTTCATACTGCTTATGGGAATTATACATCAATAAGACAAAACAATCATAAATATTTGTGCCCCAAACAATGGAAGATCTATGTACATCAAACAAACCCTTATCAATTTCAAGAAGCAAATAGACCACAACACAATAATACTGGGTGACTTTAACATGCTTCTCTCATCACTGAATAGATTCTCCAAACAAAAACTAAATAAAGAAGCTATAGAACTAAAAACTACAATTAAACATTTAAACTTAACAGACATATATAGACTATTTCATCTGTTAATTACTGAATACACTTTCTTCTAAGCAGCACATGGATCCTTCTCTAAAATAGATCATATCTTAGGCCATAAAGCAACTCTTGGCAAATATAAATATATATAGATAATACCTTGCATTCTGTCAGATCATAATGGGATAAATTAGAAATCAATGATTTAAAAAAAATAAAAGCTGCTCTAACACCTGGAGACTAAATAATATGCTATTGAATGATCAATGGATAGCTGAAGAGAGAAGGGATGAAATAAAAATATTTACAGGTAAATGAGAATAGTAATACAACATATCAAAATATCTGGGATACTATGAAGGTGGTTCTAAGAGGAAAGTTCATTGCATTGAGCTCATTCATTAAAGAAATAGAAGTCATCAAATAAATAACCTAATATCACATCTCAAAGCCCTAGCAAAAGAAGAACAAATCAATACTAAAAACATTAGAAGACAGGAAATAATGAAAATCAGAGCCAAAATCAATAAAAGTGAAACAAAAAAATTTCAAAAAAATCAATGAAACAAAAAGTTGGTTCTTTGGAAAAATTAAACTGATAAACCCTTAGTCAAGCTAACCAAGAGAAAGGGGGGAAAATACTCAACTTTCTAAAATTGGTGTTGAAAAAGGAAATATCACTAGGGACACTACTGAAATATAGATGATAATCAGAAACTATTTTGATACTTTATACTCCAATAAAATAGAAAAACCTGGAGACATCAACAAATTTATAAAGATATATGGTGTATCCAAGTTGAATCAGAAGGACAGAGAAAATTAAAACACATCAATTTCAAGCAATAAAACTGAAGATGCCATCAAAAGCCTATCAACAAAGAATAGCCCAGGACCAGATCGATTTTCAGCTGAGTTCTAAAGACCTTCAGAGAAGAACTACCAGCAATTCTCCTGAAATTATTCCGTGAAATAGAAAAGGAGGGAACCTTCCAGACTCATTCTATGAAGCTAGTATCACCCTGATACCAAAGCCAGACAAAGATACATCAAGGAAAGAAAACTTCAAAACAATATCCCTGATAAACATAGATGCAAAAATTCTTAATAAAATACTGGAAAATTGCATACAAAAACATATTAAAAARATAAGTCACCACAATCGAGTGGGTTTCATCCTAGGGATTGCAAGTTGGCTCAACATATGGAAATCAATAAACATAATTCACCATGTCAGTAGACTTAAAGACAAGAATCACATGATTATCTCAAAGAATGCAGAAAAAGCATTTGACAAAGTACAGTACCCACTCATATTCAGAACACTAGAAAAATTAGGGATAGTAGGAACATACCACAACATTGGAAAAACTCTATACATTAAACCCAAAGCCAACATCATTCTAAATGGAGAAAAGTATTCCTTCTAAAAACTAGAACAAGATAGAGATGCCCTCTTTCACCACTTCTATTCAACATAGTCCTTGAAACTCTAGCCAGAGCAATTAGGAAAAAGAAAAAACTTAAAGGGATATGGATAAGAAGGGCTCAAAAAATCTGAGAATACTGGAGATTAACTATGTCTTGCAGGAGTCCTTAGGCCCACTAAGAAAAAGATTGAGTTACTTTAAAATGGACTCATCTGATAAAAGGGAAGAAAAAAAATAGTTTTTAAGAGAGGCTCCTGCTGTTTACCACCTGCAAACCAAGCTGATTGACAATCCAGTGATTTGGAGCTTGCAGGACTAAAAACACAGGGTTCTTCTCTTCAAACCAATATTAGTGTAAGCAGAAATGAGAAGGTGAGAGACTAGGCAGGACACAGAAGTTAGGTCTACTGGTAGTCCGATTCGCCCCCTTCTCAAATCCGTCCTTTTAAAGGTTTGTCCATTTTGTCTTGTTGATAAAATAAATGTATGAGCACTCTCCAGAAAAACAGAACAACAGACATCGTCTCTCTCAAGATAGATGATGCTATCTGTGATATAGATGTGGACACAAGCAGGAGAACCAGAAAAGTGGGTGGAGTAATTCAGTCTGGAGGCTGAGAGCCAGGGTAGCTGATGGTTGAAATCCTGGCCCAGGTCCAGAAGCCTGAGCAGGGGGAGGAGGAGGTGATGGTGCAAGTCCTGGCCCAGTCTGAAAGCCTGAGGACAAAGGCAGATGCCCAGAGCAGATGCCACAACTTGAACAGACAGAAGTTCACCCTTCCTCTGCCTTTTTGTTCTCTTTTGATCCTTGGTGGGTTGCCTGACTTGGTGAGAGTGATCTTTACTCAGTTTTCTGGTTCAAATGTTAATCTCTCCAGAAACACCTCATAAATGCACCCAGAAATAATGTTTTATAGACTATCAAGGCAAACCTTGGCCCAGTCAAATCTACCCATAAAATTAACCATCACAATGAACGCTCCAGTTCTTTGGGCTAGGACACAGCAGAGGCAGGAGCCAATGATGGTGCCCTCCAACCTGTTGCACTGTTCCACCAGAAGAGGGCAATGTGGAGCTACAAGTGGGCAGAGGATGAGGGATGGGTGGGAGACTCTGGACAAGCTCTGCACTGGGAGAGCGCTTCCAAAACCTAGTTCTAGAAGTAATGTTGTATCTGGGGATTTTCTTSTTTGTTTCTGAGTAACCATACAATGGAATTAGTGAAAAAAATAAAAACAAGTAGGTCCGAAGCCTTCAAAAATCAAAGGGACAAATTCCATCAATATGTACAATTATAATGCACCAGTAAAAAATGTGGAAAATGGTTTTTTAAATTACTCTACTGTCACATATAACTTAAAATAACAAATTTTTTTTTAAAAAAAAAAAAAGAAAGAAAAACAAATCAAAGAGGCTGGGTGAGGTGGTGCGTACCTGTAATTCCAGGGGCTTGTGAAGCTAAGGCAGGAGGATTATGAGCTCAAAGCCAACCTCAGAAATTTAGCAAGGCCCTACACAACTTGAAGAAACCCTGTCTCAAAACAAAATATAAAAAGAGCTCAATGTTTAAGTGCCCTTGGGTTTAATCCAGTGCAAAAAAAAAAAAAAATCCAAAGAAATTCCATTATCTCTGAAACCCCCAGGCAGGCCCCAAACAGCCTGTGGCTATACCTTATCAGTGGTTCTCAAACTTGGCTGGGAAGTTTCACCTGGGAAGTTTTTAAATCACAGATGCCAGTCCTCTCCCAAATCCAATAAATTTGTAGCTTTGGAGGTGAGGCCCTGACATTGACGTTTTTAAAAGCTCCTCCAAGTAATTCTACTGGTGAATTCAATTTAAGCCAATCCTTGGACTCCCACCTAGTACAGGAAATAGTCACCTGTGTAAGAAGCATTCACTCTAAGGAGGGTTGCCAGATACAACCCAGACGTCCAGTGAAATTTGAGTTTCAGGTCAACAACAAACAATTATTTGTATGTCACAAATATTGCATAAGACATACCAAGAAAGAAAAAGATTCAATCTGTATTTTTATTGTCTAATGCTGCCCACCCAAGCCCCCAACCCTCAATTCAAAGATGGCTATGGAGAAAGAACATTCTTCCCCAAAGCTGAGCAGTGAGCACAGAATCTGACCAAGGCTYTCAGCCACCTGCCAGGTCTTTGCTGTTCCACAGGCAGGGTCACTAGACTTGTTACTAACCTCAGGGAGCACTTAGGATAGAACCCAGAACTCAGTGAACTCTCAACAAATGTCAGTCATCACACAGAGGAAAGCGTGAATGAGAAAATGAACTTATGTGCATCAGTGGGTATTGTCTTGGCACAAAATATTCCTAGATCAAATCACTTATGATCTGGTTTATAAAATAAGAGTGTCTGGTTCAACTTTTCAGGAGAGTATCTCCAGGGAGCACCTGGTGTATCTGCAGTACTGCTCTGCCCCGTTCCTGGGTTTTCTGCCTCTTTTCATATTTCCCTACTCTTCTTCCAGGGTCTGTGTCCATCTGTGATTCTGATTAGTTGAGCAAACAAAATCGATAAAACTGTCACAAGTGCCTTCAATCATTTGAAAGCCACGCTGGACAAAATCATTCAGTAAGCGCCTGTTGTTTGAGATCTATATGGGCATAATTTCTCTGGTACAGCTAATCACACTGGCTGCTCTGTGCATTATTTGTGAGAAGAGTTGAAAGGAAAGGGGGGGAGGGTGGTGAAGAGGAAGTCACTGGCTGTCAGAGAAAACATGCATTGCATAATACAATTTTTAAACRGAGATTGATTACAAGAATTAAATGAGATACATACACTAAAATGTAAGAAGGGCCCCAGAGTGAGRCTGGGCATGAGGGTGGGACGCACAGAACGGGTGGCCTCCAGAACTGCGGGGTCACAGCCCTGGCTCAGGTGTTTGCTCCCCCATCCACCCACAGATGTGCTGCCTCCCCGCTTCCTCCAGGCCACTCAGGCGTTCAGMTCCAGGTCGGTGATGTAGGCTCGAACCCACGCCTCGCTGGGGTCAGCACAGACCTGCCGGCCTCTCTTGGTCTGGAAGCTGTGGAGAAGGGTGGAAGGAGGGGATACTGAGGACTCCAGCAGGGGACTCTCGGGGCCCTGCATCCTTCTCTGCCCAGACACCTGGGGCCTGTCCAGACAGTTTCCCTTGAATCTTGGGGTTCTCGAACCCTCCCCAAATGTCTCATAAGGGTTTGCTCAGAAAGTCCCTTTCTGCTGTCACTCCTCCCCCTCTTCCCACTGCCCAGGGCTCTTCGAGCCCCAGTYCAGGTCTGAAAACCCCCCAGGCACCTCCTGGACTCCTGCACCCAGAGCACTCCCATGGGACCTCACCCAGCCCGCCAGCCTCCCTCTCCAGGGGTGGCCAGGAGGCCCGGCCCTTACATGACCRCGGGTTTGGAGCACTGGCTGCTGGTCTCATAATAGTCATCTACAAATTTGCGCGGAATCTTCCGGGAGATGTAGAAGAAGCAGCAGGCGGTGGGGGTGTCAGCACCCACTGTGAGAGACAGGACAGAAAGACCCCAAGTGCCTGATCAGAGGAGAGGCCGACCAGCCGCTTCTGGCCTTCCCCCAGCATGCTTGAGGTGGGGATGGGGGGACAGAGGGACCCAGAAGGAAGTTGGTATTTCTTTGATTTATTTACCTTAGTTTGGGGACTTTATGCCTCTCTACAGTAAATTCAGTATTTTTTTTTTTTTAATAAACTACGTCTGTCAAAATCCCAGTTGGGCCTCCACTTTCCAATCCATAAAATGGGACTCTGTCCCTCTCTGTCCTCCAGAATCGAGTCACCAAAACCCCTTAGGAAGCTAAATTCTCTGGGCAGGAGCCTCAAAATTCTTCTGGCATGCCCTGCTYGGAGGGCCTCAGGCTCAGACTTGGACATTGCCGTCCAGCCCATGGCCAGAGAGTTAGGACACAGAGCAGAAGACAGACTCACGGGAGGCAGAGCAGGTCAGGGAGGAGAGGGCCTCAGTGAAGAACAGGACAGCGAGGACGGCCACGGGGACCTCCATGATGCCGGGCTGCAGAGTGGGCTGAGTGCTGGCCGAGAAGAGATGGGGCGGGAGGACTCGAGGCTGCTGCTCCCTTGTGGGGTCTGAGGCTTCTCCTCTCTTTATAGGCAGCCTGGGGCATTGGTCAAGGGGGACCTTCTAACCGTGGTGTTGGTGCTGTGCTGCATGTTGCATGAGCTGGCAGGGCTGGGGGTCACCACAGGGCTCAAGCAATTTGCACGAGTGGCTCAGTCCCTTCCTCAATGGGGAAATGGTTTCCACAGCGAGAGGAGGTGAGAAGCTGGTGTCAGCTGAGACCAAGCGAGCTGGCGCCTTCTCACCAGAGCCGCAGTCTGCAAAGCCTTTCTCCCAGAGCCCAGCCTCGCCCCTCCTGGCCAGCTATCCCAGGGCACGGATGGTAAGGAGATGAAGACAGCTTCTCACTTCCTGAGAGGCACAAGGTGGAACCGTGCCCTGGAGGGAGACAGCAGAATTAGGGAAGCCTCAGCCACCAAGGGCGAGAATTAGGGGGGCTCTCAGATACTGGCTGGGTGCTCAGGCTTCGTGAGCCTCCCCAGATGTGCCACTCCCTGGGTTGGCTGGGTTGACTGGGGCTCCTGAGAGAGATAAGCCTCCSAGTCTGTTACCCTCCCATCAGAAGGGCTCTGCAGGGATCTATCCCAGGGACATAAACACAAAGGTGAAGAAAGTGGTATGCACCATGGTGCTGGTCACAGCTTATCTGTAGCAATTAAAAGGTGACTTAGCATTCAARAAGCTGTGGGATATTTACTTCTTGTAATAATAATTAGCCCTTAAAATTGAGAAGGGAGAGACATTTAAAAGGAAAGTCCTCRTTTCTTAAAAATCCTGAAATATTTCCTGTTTTTAGTTAAAGTTAAAATGGGCCTTTCCCTGGTTCGCTGGAATTCCATGGTGACATCAAGGACTGAGTTTCTTGAAACATCTCCCCTTCCTCCATCATTTTGTTGACTTTTCTTTTACAGGTTTGTCATCTCAGGGTCACAAGATGGCTGCTGCTGAGAAGGCGTCACACCTCCACAAAGTCTCCTCACAGACACAGGAAAGGGCCTCAGAAATACGGAAGGAGTGATGTTCCTGGAGCTTTGATTCAAGTTGTTTCTTAAATGCTTTAAAAGGTGAACTATAGATTTTCTTCAAAGTTAGTAAAAGCCAATTTTAAAAATGTGCAAAATACAGGAAAGAATAAAAACTAATTTGGTATGTAAAATCTGGGTACACTCCATGGCAAATGCAGGTTCAGAATGTGGGGATTTTTCTCTACATTCTCACCCTCCTACATAACAAATTCTGCAGCATAATCAGTAATTTTTTTTCCTCAAAGGTAGGAAAAACTCTATTATTCAAGCCTAACCCCTCATAACATTTTGATTTGTTTCTTTCTTACCCAGGGATGCCCTACCACTGAACAACATCCCCAGCAGCCCTTTTTATTTGATTTTGAGACACAGTTGATAGGTTGCCAAGGTTGGCCTTGAACTTGTGATCCTCCTTTCCCAGCCTCTTGAGTCACTGGGATTACAGGCGAGCACCCCTGTGGCCAGCTGTTTTGTTTCTCTCCAGTGCAGCTTTTTCTCGGCTCATGATGGTTCTGTCTGCTTGCTTGTTTTTCACTCCTGTGTGAGGAGGAGATAAGGATTACCATTGTCTCCATCTAGATGGAACTTGGGCATTTTCTTGTTTGTAATTATTAGTAGAAGAGGCTTCCAAATAATTCTAGTGACTTTAGGAGTTGCCTAATTGACCCAACTGTCTGCTTAGTACATGAATATTATCATGCTCCATTGTGGCACATTTGGACTGGTTCCAATATTTAATTGTCATAAATAAACTATACCAATGGTACTTTATAAGTAAAACTTTCTCCATGAATAAGGTCCTTTCCAGAGGATATTTTCCTAGCTGTAGACTTCCTGGGTAAAAAAAAAAAAAAAAACACAAAAAAACAAGGACCCTTATGGCTTCTGGTCTCTAGAGACGTCCCACATCGAACGCACATTCCTGCCTAGAACCCGTGTGGGCTGGCGGTGGCCGCGGATAAGGAAGTGTGGCTGTTGCTGAATCAGTGGTTCCAAGGCTGAGCTCATCACTCTTGTCATGACTGTAGCCTGGGCACCAGCTCCTGACCTCTCACTCACTGATTAACATTTTTCTTAGAAGCACTGCAGTCCACATGATGTCATGGTCCTTTGCTCCCAGGGTGTGGTTTGAGAATGACTTGTCTCCCCACCAGGATGCTGTGGCATCACTATCTACATCACCCTGTGTGGCCAGAGGAGCCTTAGCCCAGGTCTGTGGGAGGCAGTGTGAACCTACACATTTCTCCATGTTCTTGCGGCCCTAACACTAACATCTCACCTCCTCTCACTGTCAAAAGTGTTTCCATATAATCAGCCCCAACAAGTGAGCAATTGGGCTATTCTTGTGCATCCTGATCCCCTAGGGGACCCACAGCACCCCAGAATGAGGAACTTAGAGCAAGACTCTAAGCACCCAGCCAACTCCCTCTGCTCCTCACCAGCTTCCTACACCTCATGGTCTGGAGCTGCCTAAAAGGGTGGGCGTGTGGCTTGAACCCCAGAAGGGTGCAGGCAGCAGTGTTCTTGGCTTTGCCCTCCCTCCTCTGCCTGTCCACACCCCATAGGCCTCTGTGGCTGCCCTTATGGACCATCCCGTCGTGGCCCTCCGCTCACAAGTCTCTTCTGGACCATGAGGCTCTCTCAATCTCATCCTTCCTTTAATCTAGAGCTGTTTCCCAGTGCTCTGGAGAGACAGCCAAGCCATGTCATTTAATTCCTGTGCCTTTTCTCTGAGGGAAAGCAAAGAACCTCACAGAAGCCTTCAGAGCATTCTGGACTATTTCCCAAGGGTTTTTTTTAATGTTTTTATTAGTTGTTGATGGACCTTTATCTTATTTACTTATTTCTATGTGGTGCTGAGAATCCAACCCAGTGCCTCACACATGCTAGGCAAGCACTCTACCAATAAGCCACAACCCCAGCCCAAGATTTTTGATCTATCTTAATTCCTGGATCTGAAAGGCAAAGGAGGGCTAGGACCCATCTTTAGTTGGGAAAACCAGGGCCTAACTCAGTCATGAACGAGATGCAAACTCGGGGGTGCCGTTGGTTCCCGCTGTGAGCAAGGGGTGGGTTCCCCTCAGTTCTCCCAAGAAGTTCCGCCCTTAGGGTGATTCACAGAGGGTGGCCTCTTTCTGGAAAGTTCCCCTCCAAAAGAGAGGGAGCAAGGACCAGCTCTTCCAATAGCTGTATTCCCAGAGAGGGAACCTGAGACTACTGAGGCAGAGATTTAAAACAAACACTCAAGGCCAAGAACAAATTCGGGGCTTCTTTTGTTCTTTTGGTGCTCAGCTCTGCAACCCTGAGAGGTGACCTCTCCAACTTCTTGCTGGCCCCCTCAGAGGAAAGGAGTGGACTGCTTTCCTCAGGCTCTGCATGCCTATTCCCCCACTGTTGGGACGGACCCCAACGCCTGCTCCCTCTTGTGTTCCTCCAGACCCGCTGTCAATATGTTGATGATCATCGTGACACCAGCGGCCAGCATTCCTACCCCGGTATAAGTCAGTGGTGGTTCTTCCATCTGCAGAGAGACGGGGCCTGTGGAGGAGGCCAGCCATGGGACATGGAGAGAGGACAGGTACACACAGCGAGGAGGGTGGGAGCCATCCCGCAGAGGCCCACCAAGGATGTGGAACCCAGGGAGAGGCCACAGAGGTGCTTTCTGACCTGGTTTGGGGCCTTCAGGGAACCAGAGGAGTTTCCCAGGGCAGAAAGGACCAAGGCAAGAAAGTGACAGAGAAGAGGCTGCCCCAGAAGTCCCCCATGGAATATGAAGGCTGGGGGGAAATACAGATGGTTTCAAGCTTCACGTGGGTGAGGAAGGAACGGAGAGGCCCTGGAGGACTGGGAATGTCTTTGCGGGGTGCCTCTGTCTCATCCTTCTGTTCTGCATCAGCCAGAGCCCAATCAGAGCAGCCCAACCTCCTAGGACTGCAAAAAGACATCAGAGACGACAGGATATTAAAAAACCACGATGAACATAAAACCAAAGAGAGAGGAAGAAACCACGCCAGGTGTTCACAGTGCTGAAAACCAAAGCTAAGAAGAAAAGTCTCAAAAACAGAGAAAGAGAGAGAGAGAGAGAGAGAGAGAGAGAGAGAGAGAGAGAGAGAGAGAAAGAGAGAGAGAGAGAGAGAGAAATGACCTTCCATGAAAAAGCTCGAGTGTCTTCCAACAGAAAAACGGACACTGGAGGCCAGAGTAATGATTGTTCCTGAAGAGCTTAAAGTCAATAATGCTCATATAGATGGAAAATAGCCTTCAAAAGTTAAGGTACAATAAACATTTCCAGTCAATCAAAAACTAGGACTTCACCATCAAAAGACTCACAGTAAAGAATACAAAAGGGTCCCTTCAGGCAGAAGAAAGAGAATTCAGATGGAGCGGGGAGATACAAAGGGTTTAAGAGCAACAGGATTGAATAAATATGTAGTGAAAACCAAATACATGAAATAGAAAAAGATGAAATAGAAATACACATTGACTATCGAGTAATAAAATATAATAGAGATTTTGGATTTGGGGGTTGTTTTTTTCATTTTCAGTTTTTGGTTTTTTGTACCAAGGATTGAACCTACACTACTTAACCACTGGGCCATGACCCCAAMGCTTTTTAACTTTTTTTTAAAATTTATTTATTTTGAGACAGGGTCTCACTAAGCTGCTTAGGGAGTTGCTGAGTTGATGAGGCTGCCTTTGAACTTACAATCCTCATGCCTCAGTCTCCYGAACTGCTGGGATTACCAGTGCAGGCCACTGCACCTGGCTCATTTTATTTTTTACACAGGCCCTTATTATGTTGCCAAGGGACCCACCTGTCTCAGCCTCAGTACCCTACCAGCACATACTATTGTGCCCAGTTTGGATTTTAAATTTATATAGAATGCAAACATACCAAAATTGCATAAAAGTCAGGAGTACTGTATAGCATATCCCAAGGATATTACATTATGTGGGTAGTGACAATGGCATTATATTACATTATACCGTATTAAGTTCAGGTTTCTTGTCTTAATCTGTAGTGTAAACAGTAGTAAAGAAACATAAAAATACAGGATGAATATGTATAAATACATCATGGAAATGGGAAAAAACCCCAATCAACTCAAAAGAAGATTATTAAAAGAGAAAAGAAATATATGACAGGCAGGTCAAATTTAAAGTAAATAGTAAGATTAGATGTAAGTATATCAGTAATTGAATGTAAAAAGATTAAATACTGAAATTTAAAAACAAAAATTTTTAAAGATATCAACTGTATGCTATTTAAAGAGATACTCCTTAAATATAAGAATTGTGAAAGATTAAAGAGGTAGAAAAAGTAACTTATGTTCATACTAACCAAAAAAGAAAAAGAAAAAAAATTTCAAAAATGAAGAGGTAGTTGAGAACAACAAAATGCTCAACCTACCAGAAATTTGTAACAGTTCTAAATTTGTGTACTTCTAATGACACAGCCTCAAAATATATAAAGAAAACTGAGGGCTAAAAGATGAAATAGAAAAAAAATCATGATTATAGTGGAAAAATTTAACACATTTTTCTTGGTAACCAATGAAATAAGCAGACCCTAACTTAGTAAGAATATAGACTATTTGAACATCAAAATTTTAATAAATTTTAATAAATGAACATATATAGCATATGTTTATCAAGTTCAGGGTAAACATTCTTTCAAAAGCACATAAAGACTTTGCTATATTTGACCATGTTCTAAAAAACTACWATAACAAAACTAGAAAATCGCATGTTCAAAGCCAGCCTCCGCAAAAAAACGAGGTGCTAGGCAACTCAGTGAGACTCAGTCTCTAAATAAAATACAAAAATAGGGCCGGGGATGTGGCTCAGTGGTTAAGTGCCCCTGAGTTCAATTCCTGGTACCAAAAAAAAAAAAAAAGAACAATTGTGGAAATCCATCAAAGCATTCTACCCCACCAAAGGAAGCAGTGACCACTCACTTCAGAGAGATATCTGTCCTATGAAGAGGAAACAGCTCAGCATGATTTCCTGGGTGGATGCCAGCTCCTGGTCACCCTTCGGTAGACCCAACTTCCTCATAAGCACCCCCAATCAAAAGGGCCACTGAACAACTCTTATGAATCACTCTGATATCCATAGGCAACCCAGGGTGGACCGCTCACATGATACCAATCTATTTAAAATTTCTGGCGAAGGCACGTGAAATTTCTTTGTTTCCATGGTCCAGGGCTGCCTATTAAAAAGAAGGGGACAGCTCAGATCCTGGAGAGCAGACCCAGTAGAGAGTCCCCATCCCAGCTCTGGAGCCTCCTCTGCAAGTCTAGCGTCATGAAGGTCCTTGTGGTTGCCCTGTTTGTCCTCCTCTGCACCTCGACCCTCTGTGCAGAAGGTGAGTCTGTCGTCCATCTTCTTTTAATGGGTGCTCCCTGCCCAGAAGTCGGACCACACTGTCCAAGGGCTGTGGCTCAGGACTCCCTGTGAAACTAGAGAACGTGGAAGGGCTTCAAAATAACACAGTTGTTTTCTTCAAGAGGGTCCAAAAGTGGTCTATTGATCTGGGCTGGAGGATAGGAGTTGGAAGGGGTTTTACCCCATTTTTAGAAGACATCATTGAAGTGTAACTTATTGGGTTTTTAGCATAAGCCAGAATCAAGGTCTATTTAGTTTCTGTTGGTCCTGGTAAGACTTAGAATTACCTCAGTGGTCCCCAAGAGTTTAACCCCTTAGATAACTTACAGGACCTGCCTAGTTTTCTCAGCTACTTTATGATTTCATAGATTAGGAAAATAAATTTCAGCCAGGCCATGGTGGGTGCACACCTATAATCCATCTTGGGAGGCTGAGGCAGGAGGATCGAGAATTCAAAGCCAGCTTCAGTAACTTAAGGAGTCCCTAAGAACTCAACAAGATCTTAAAAAGGGCTGAGGATGTGGCTCAGTGATTATTAAACCCCTCTGAGTTCAATCCCTGGTAATTTTCCCAAAGAGAGTTAGGAGGAGGGAATAGACTATTTAGAGAATCTCAGGAGAAGGGAGTAGACTAGAGAATCCAGTTTCCTGTAGAGAAAGATAAAGAACAAAATGAAGAGAGCAAAACCAAAGACTAAAGAAATCAATAAGAAACAAAGAAACACAAAGCCAAATTATTTCTAGTTTTCTTTTCCCCTAAGCCTCAACTCTGCGCAATGCACTCACTCAACTTCTTCCTGACCCTCTGCAGCTTGTCTGTTCTCAGTAACTCCTTATCCCCTCAGATAGGAGCCAGGAGCCGTCCTTCTGCTGCCTTGCCTACATCTCCCGAAAGATCCCCCGCCAACACGTGGCTTCCTATTATGAGACCAGCAGCACATGCTCCTCGAAGGGTATCCTGTAAGTACTAGTCCTCCTGCCCAGCCCCGCCCGGGGTGACACAGGACAGCGAGGGTGGGGGCTGCCTGCAGGAGTGGACCTAGGAACAGAAGGAGCCCACTGGGGGCTAGTGTGCATGCAGGACACAGAGGGGGGCTGCTGGGCTGTTTGTTGACATGGGCTGGGACCTGCAGGGAGACAAGGAAGACCTTCCCAGAAATGCAGGGAAGAAAAGAGAGAAGGAGACAGCAGAAAGAAATTCCATGCATCACTCAGGGAAGACTAGGGGGCCCTTGATATTCGGGGGATTATTTCTTGATATAAAGTACACCAGCCTCAATCTGCAAGTGGGAATATGACCAGGAATGTCCTCACTCAGTCTCTAATACTTCTCCCCTCTCCATAGCTTTGTCACCAAAAGAGGCCGTCAAGTCTGTGCCCATCCCAGTGAAGCCTGGGTCCAGGAATACATCAGGGACTTGGAGTGATCCAGCAAGAAACATTGAGAGGTGTGGGAAGATGGGGATCTAGGGGACTGTCCCTGCAACCCCCGAAGTCTTCTCTCCTATGGGTCCCTTCACCCTCCACTAACCATACTCTGAAGCCTTTCTTAGTTTTTCTTGAGTTAATTAAATCAGATACTGTCAATCATTTGACCTTCTGGATGTTTCCTCTGAGGAATCGTATGGCACCCTCTTTTCCTAGCCCTCTTCCCTGTCACTCATATAGTGGTTGATTTGTACTTAGGGGGATTGTGAAAGATTGTGTCCTTCTTTCTCTAAGGCCTTTCTGGACCAAATCCATCCATAGATACTTACTGAGTTTTTGGGAACTCTTTATTGTTAAAAAAAAAAAAAAGTCAGAATAATAAAAAATTCTTTTTATTTTTCTGAAGTAAACCTTGGGCCTCTGTCTATTCTTTTGTTTTTGTCTTCCTGACAAACCATGTTCATTGGCCGGAAGGAATGACGGCACCCAAGTAGGAAAGGAAAGCAAGAGAAAGAGGACAAGTGTCATTCCTGTGACACTCGGCTGTCTGCTGGTGACACGTTCCTCATCAGGCAAAGACAAAGAAAAATATTAAAAACAAATGCAAACCTCCACGTACCAGGGAAATCACCACTTGAAGGCATACCCAAGCCAGGCATTCTGTCAAGCACATTTATGTATTTTCATAACTTAAGGGTCCTTGAGAACAAAGGCTAACCGTTTTTAAGGACTCTTCGGAACCATGACCTAGAATAAGATTTATACACATTGTCTACTCCAGTGACCCTCATTGACACGAAGGAACAGATTCAGAGACTTTAAGAAGCATGTCCAAGACAGATTGCTGTTAACGTTGATCAGAACAAGGCCCACATTCACAATCAGCCCCCATGCGCCTCTGTTCCACGAGAAACAGGTTTAGCAGGAATGCACGGTTTCCCAGTCAGAGACAGCCTGCTCCAGGCAAGATGTTACCTCCCGGCACATCACATAATTCAGAGAAAAATCCAAAATCTTTCTACCCAGACTTGATCTCTAATTGCCTTCTCAGCTGACTGCTGAGAAAGCAACAGACTTGAGATGTCAAGTCAGAAAGAGAAATGGAGGGGGCCACCCTGAGCCCTGAAATTTCCCTCCTGGCTATCTCCTTAATCATTTTGCCTTTCTCTAGAGCTTCCAAATCTGAAAAGGCCAGCTGGTCTCTGCCAACCCTGGTGTTGATCAAAGAGGAAACAGAAGTCTGAAGAGTTTCAGTAACTTCCCCTTGGCTATGTGATGAGCAGTGTTGAGATTTTAACCTGGGTATACTTGGGACCTTATTTTTCCTCCTTAATCATGGTCTTCGTGCCCCACAAGAATTAGCCTACCATGTCCTCATGCCTGGAGGACTTTGAGAGATCCGGATACAGTCCATATCCCACACTCTCATCCCTCAGACACATAGCTCTCAAGGTGCTGTTCCACTTGGAATAGATTTAACCTGACATTCTCTGTTCCATGATGTGGCTCCAGCTCACCAGCTCCCTCTCTTGGGTGGGCAATGGCATGACGAGTCATATCCCTCTACCTATTGTCACATCTTCACTTTTCTCTGGCTTATCACACTAAGTGTCAGGGTGCAGGCCAGGCCTCTCTGCTTGCCATCTCATTCATTCCCCTTCCTCCTGTCCAGCCACACTCTGGACCCATCAACAAAGGCACCTGGAGGATGCAATGCTTCTCCTGGAGATGATCTCTGGTGTGGTCGTTTTAGCATAAGAAGCAGCTTTCTGCAGCAAAATCAATCCCATGCAACACATTAAGTTGCATATACAAATTAAGGAAACCAGAGCAGTAAAATTGCCCAAAATTGGAAAATAAATGAGTAACTTATTCATCAAATTAACTTCAGAACGTTGAGATTTAAATGAGAAATTCACACCTACTTCCCCAATTTTAGGAAGAGTATACACAACTTAGAGGAACTGATATTTTTTATATATAAAGAAATATGTTACGGTTTGTATAAATGTCCCCGAAAGGCTCATGTGCGAAAGGCTTGGTCCCCAACCCATGACACTATTGGGAAGTGGTGGAACCTTCAAGAAATGGGACCTTAGTGGGAAATCTCCAGGTTGTTGGAGGTGAGCCCTGGAAGGGGATAGTAGGGCTCTGCCTCCACAGCCTTTTTCTTTTTTCTTTCCAGTAATAAAAGAAGCAATTTTGCTTTGCCACGTTCTCTTTGTCATGATGTGCTTTTCCACAGCATGATTTTTGCCCCCAAAGCAATAGGGCCAATCAATCAGAAAATGAAACTTCTAAAACCATGAGATAAAATAAACCTTTTCTCTTCATAAGTTGATTATCTCAGATGTTTCTTACAGTGGCAGAAAGTGCATTCACACAACATCCCGAGTAGATTATATTAAATGCTATAATTTCATCTCTAAATTAAATTTAAATTTTCTCTTTCCCATTATCCTTTCTTACTATTATTACAATTGAAAATAAATGTCCACCCAGAGGAGGTCTTGGTAGCATTGAATCCAACAGATCGGCAGAGGGGTTGGGGTTCAAGTAAAGAGTAAACTCCATGCCAATTGCTCCGGTAGGCAGGCAGGTTATAGCTCCACACATCAGAACAGTCAAGTTTACCTCTTCTGTCTTCTTTTTTATTTATTTATTTTTATTATTTTTTATTTATATATGACAGCGGAATGCATTACAATTCTTATTACAAATATAGCACGATTTTTCATATCTCTGTATAAAAAGTATATTCACAACAATTCATGTCCTCATACATGTACTTTGGATAATGATGTCCATCACATTCCACCATCATTTCTAACCCCCTATCCCTTCCCACCCCTCTGCCCTATCTAGAGTTCATCTATTCCTCCCATGCTCCCCCTCCCTACCCCACTATGAATCAGCCTCCTTATATCAGAGAAAATATTTGGCATTTGGTTTTGGGGGGATTGTCCAACTTTACTTAGCATTATCTTCTCCAATCCATTTACCTGCAAATACCTTCTTGCTATTTATTTCTTTATGTCCAAAGACTTGTTCGCAAATATTCTTACCAGCTTTATTCAAAATAGCCCCAAACTTTATTCAAATACAACCCAAATGTCTACCAAGTGGTGGATGGATAAACAACCCGGTGCAGTTGGTTCTGCTTTAACATGAGACATGTAATTCTAAAATATCACTATGGCATGCAAAATCATTCATGAAACTCACAGGGATTAGGGAGAAGATAAAGATGGGGCACAGCACTCAATTACTTCATCAGTGATACATTTGAAAAATAAAGCCCTAATAAAAACAGTATCACTGTTTTTAACACATGTTAAAATGGTTACCGTAAAGAGGGGTTGCAGTTTTCAATTATTATAAAGTGGTAGAAGGAAAGTTGTTTGAACTCACAAGGATGTAACTCTAGTCGTCGATGTAGGTGTGGCTTATGACATGCAACAACCTGAGGTGGCTGGCAGGGCTTTTTAAGGGAGGGAAATTTTGTGAATTCTTACGTGGTTTGTTCATACTGCAAATGGAAAAGATTGTATTATACTCTAGTTTTTTTCTTATACATCAATCCTACCAGTATAAATAAACCTACATTTTCTAAATAAGCATTATAGCAGAACTAACTATACATCTGTCATGTTTTGGATATTAGGGGAGTCCTCCAAATCTCCAGTGTTAATACAGGAATATCCAGAGGTGAAATGATCAGATCAGAAGGGGGATATAAACTAATCAGTACATCCTAGTTTGAATGAATTAACTTGGGGGTGGATAACTGTAGGGAGGCGGGGCATGGTAGAGGAGATGGGTCATGGGGAGAGCCCTGGAAGGACATGTCTTCTCTGTGGCCTTCACCCCATCTCTTGATCAGCTTCCTGGCAGCCATGAGCTAAGTAGCTTCTCTCTGCCACATCCTTCTGCCATCATGTTCTGTCTCATCTAGGGTCCATAGTGATGAGGTCAGCTAACCATGGATGAAACTATGAAACCATGAGCCAAAATAAACTTCTCCCTCTCTAAGTTGTTTTGTTTTGTTTTGTTTTTGTGGTGGTGCTGGGGATTGAACCCAGGGCCTTGTGATGCAAGGCAAGCACTCTGCAACTGAACTAATCCCCAGCCCTCTAAGTTGTTGGTATCAGGTATTTTGGTCACAGTGATACAACATCCATACAATGGAATACTATTCAGCAGCAAAAAAAAAGACTCAACTATAGATATGCACAACATGGGTAAATCTCAAAAGTATGATGATGATGAACAAATGAACCGACTACAAAAGTTACACAATGTATTGTTTCACGTCAACAATATTATGGAACAGGTGAAACTATAGAGACAGAAATCAGATCAATGGTTGCTAAGGACTGACAACCACAGAGAGTGGTTGACTGCAAAAGAGGCATAGATTATACCCATAAAAAATTACCAATTATATCTGAATTATGCCCCAATGAATATGACTCTCTGCCCCCCCCCACATATATATACAAATTCAGAGGGCTACATGTATAAAAACAGAACAAAATAACTAAACTCCAAAAAGAGACCTACTGAACCCTAACTTTCAATAGCCCATGTCTGGGTTGGCATGAAAGACTTGAATTCCAGGGCATCCCACACACGGAGCAAGTGAACGCCCAACTGCCAACTCTTTCCTACAAGTCTTCACTAAGAGCATGCAGGGTGAGCAGGTAAGGCTGCGGGCATCAGAGCTGAGAGGAAAGACCTGAGATATGTGGGGCCTTTACCATGTTCAAAGCAACTACATTCCAAAGGCAGGGGACTAGAACAACAAAAAGAAGTTCATCCACATCTTTCCAGGTCTTAAGCTATGCAAAGTGGAGGGTAGAGCAGAAAAGCTGGGATAAATCCATTTGAGGCACTCTAGGTCTTGAAGGCAAGGAGGAGGAAAACTGAAAGAAATCATTCTGGAACACTCTGGGCTTTCAGCTATTGATGTTGGGTCAATGAAAGTTTAAAGAAACCCCTCTGGTAGCATTTCAGCCCTTCAAAAATTGCAAAGCCTCTGCCTTTCAAAATCTATGGTTAGAGCAAAGAAGCAAAGAGAAATCTCTCAAGGTGCAGAAAGCTGAGAATCGAACTATAAAGAGAGATCACCACTGACCCAGATGGATAAATAGGCTATAACTTAAAAATATCTCCTGTGGTTTAGAAACTGGCTGCACAATGATGTCTGAAGAATCTTTCCATTGTTTCAATCCCAAACTCTACTAGGGAGAAATTATAATCCTGCTCACAAAACACTTCAAGTCAGAGCAAACTGAGTCAAGCTAAAGCTGTAACAAAGCCCATATCCAAATACAGACAGATTGAATCAG